TCCCTCCCTGCTGCCTCTCGCTCGCTCCCACTCCATCACTCCCATGACCACCACCCCTCCTGTGTGGTGTCCTGCTCACTTTCAATCTGCAGCTCGCTCGTTCCAATACGGCTGGCACTTGAATGACAGTGGGGGTGGGCAGATGTGTCAAGTGCTTTTTGAAGTGGGGTGGGGGGGACTCTCAGGAGAAGTGAGACACTTGTCACTACAAGTGAGCAGCCACAACATTGTACTTTTTTTCCGGAGCAGGCTGCCAGTGCCATGCCAGGTGCCCTGTTGAAAAATACCATTTGCTGTTATAGACGGGTAGAACATAGCTCGATCACGACTGGTGCTAAACAGAAGAGCGAGGCGAGAGTGGCGGTGCGAAGAAAACATTGCATAAACTGTTAGAACACAGTCGCTGCTTAGCTGGAGGAAAATATGGATTGCAGAACGCGTGTGAATTATGATATCATCAAACTGGCAAATGAACCATGTCAAAATCCTGATTGCTTGTCCAACCATAGCTTCTGAGATCAATAGTGCTTGATACACAGGCCGTCACATAATCAGTTAATGTATCGAAACAATTTAAAATGATATTACCAGATTGGCTTTCTCTCAGATTCAGGCTTCACGTTGTCCCCACGGCAGAGGAAACCTGTCGGGGGTCTGATCTCCAATACATTGTGGTATAAGGCTGTTTGATAAACACTAAAGGAAAATGCTCAAATGAGAATCAGCATCAGTGTTTAATCTTTAATCCACAGCCAATAATTGATCGCTACAATCTGCTTTATCGGACCTTACAGTGGTTGAAGTTTACAGTTCCACACCCGACAGACAGAGACTGAAGGATTATCCCTGCCTCTTTTGTTTGTCGCCATTTGTTGTTCCACGCTGCCTTGTGATGGTGACAATATTTTCTTCACTCCTCTGCCGCACAGTTTTCTATTTTAGATATCAAACGACAAACACACACAGTATCGTCTCCATGACTTCAGAGGACACTACATTGCCTTATATTTATTCCCTGGAGACTCTAACTATATTATAACTTATTCCTGCTCAATTCTTAGTTTAACCTTAAAGTATGCATTCACAAATAGACTGGATATAAAGATGGACGACATGACAGCTCCCAAAAGTGAAGCCAAATCATCTCAATCGCTCCCTGGGGGAATCATCGAGATGATTCGATCATTCTATCATGTGGTTAGAGGCACAGTGGGCGTGGTAAAGAATACTGTGATATATGCCATCTTAGCTGCTCCAGTTGGGCCCTGCAGGAATACCGTCATCATACCCTGGCTGGCTGCAGTACAGGTTATAAACCAAGCCTACTCCATGTTAGAAGAAGGGACATACACTAAAATTTCAAAATACACGTCAAATATATCTATCAAAGATAGTTTCTGTTATATTAACTCATCACGTATGTTCACATGAAATACATTTTTCCAGTAAATACCTAAACGCACGCACGCACACATACACACACACACACACACACACACTCACTCTGTACAGTCTATGTTTAGGTTGATGATTAATGATAATGGTTCTGTGTCCAGACTGAGAGAATCAGACCCTGGGCAGGTTCTGCACTTAAGTGGTTCATGTCTTTTTATGACGTGAACACAATTTCTATCTCAGCAGACTCAGGGCCCAGTTCTTTTGTCAAATATCTTAACAATGGGAAAATATTTTAACGTGTCTTTTCACACCCATATCAGTTTGTTTTTCTCAATGTTGGAGGCTGACCATACTGCCTATACTTTCCCCCCGTTGCATAAAACCCATACACAAACTCAGTGAAGTGTATTGGCTGTGTTGTTGACAATTATTCCAAAACTCAGCTGGATTATTATTGAGCCATCTTTTGTTGTTTTCCCCATAGATTTTTACAATACCTGCTCATTACCTCCACCAAGGCTGGGATGTTTTCATTGCAGTATATCTGTCTGTTGTCCATTAATTTTTTTTAATGGATTGGGGTTTGATCCAAGGAAGAAGCCCTTATATTATGGAGCTGATAAACATAAACAGGTGGATCTGTGGATCTTTTTCACTTTATTTAAAAAGGCTGAGAAAGAGTGTTAGCGTTGGTGGAGGTGTGCACTTTCCAAGCACCCTTCTAGGTTTACAATGGATTTAAAATAATATTTAGTAGTATATTTCTGAAACTTATAAAACCTTATGTCACTTCACAGTCCCTGGGACAGGATTTTAAGTGTCCCAGCATCTAGACTCAAGACTGCAGGGGGAAAAGTTGCAGTTGAAGCCTAAACCATCAAAGTTTTTCATCAAGTGCTGCTGAATATATCAGTGCATCCATACCTGTATATCTACCTGACTAAAATGTGATAAATGACAGCAAAATGAGTTCCACATGTACCTTCATTAGACACGCTCACACCTACGGGAGTGCAGCCGAATGTTGTGGGTGGAATGTTTTAATCGCTCGCTGGCGCAGACTGAAAATGAACAAGAGGCAAAAGTTCACCATTGCTGCATTTGTGTACGTGAGACTAAGTCGGTATGTGTATCATGACACACTCTTGCCAAATTTGGGATTAGCTCCAGCCCCCCTTCCGTAACCCATACAGGATAAGCGGTAGAGATAATGGGTGGATGGATGCTCTGTAGGTGTGTGTACATCTTGGCCTTACTGTAAAGCCACATCATGTCCATGTACGTGTTAGAGTTCCAGGGCCTCTTCTGCTCATTAAGGAACATGGTTTTGCACTAACCAGATGTGTACAGGCATCCAGGCAGTGTTGTACTGAGTGCTATTGCAGTAAAGGCCCATAAAAACTCAGTCAGCTGTGTTCTTGGATCAGCTGGTACAGAAAGACTGGCACAGAAAGCAACTGAAGCAGACTTTGAAAATCGCTCTGAGCTGGGAGAATATGGGACGCAGCATGCATGGGTGCCAGGGCGGGGGGGCAGCCATGCGATGGCCACTGGCACACTCGCACCAGAGTGTCACAAGACCACAGCTAGATCGTCTTTGATTAGAGCTCTAAACATTGTGTGAGTCACGACTGCTTCCGAGATCATCACAGGCAAATGTCTCATTAATAGCGATGGGACTTTGAGGCAAGGTTTTACATTAAAGTTTCATTCGCTGGCATTGTTTATGAGGGGAGATAATTCCTGTCTCAAAGCAAAAGACATTTCCCATCACAACAGAGTGTTTTACAGTAATAATTCCTGCCACCTTCAAAACTGGCTCATCAGTTTTGATGAAACTTTGATGAAATGATCTTTAACAGCAGCTTTTTTCCTCCATTGCTGCTGAATGAAGGTTGCCTCAACCAAAATATCCTCTCATAACTATGTATAATATTTCACTGCGTGCGCTCTTTTGAAATGCAAATGATAAAGCCTCCACTCATGAGTTTTGATGAGAATGAATAGAATGAAAAGAAACCGGGCAGCAATTCTGTATTCCACTTGACCCTGAGCAGAATAAGCAGGTATAGGAAATAAATGGATGGCTTATCCAGGTCAAACCCTCCAGAGAAAGATGGGTGTTGAGTGGGATTATCAAGTTTATTGGTGTAGATAAGTCAAAAATAGATAATTCAAAAATTCTAACTCTGACACTGTTACAGAGATTACATTATGATTTAACTTTGAACTTGCATTCTGAATTAGCTGCTGGCATATGAACAAGTTGTAAGAAGAAAAAAAGACTAACGTTTTTTTCTTTTTACCAAAATGCTTTTAACTTGGTGCTTGACATTTTCATAATTGTAACACGGTGCTACAACACAAAAACATTCCAATGTGACATCTTGCAGCAACATTTAGGAGACGTAAAGTGGTAGATTGATGTTTTTAATGAACCATTATAAATAATAAAAGTCTTCTTCAAACAGATGGACCTCCGCCCCTGAGACAAGAACGACCAAACATACACGGAGTGCATATTTAAAACATACAAACGCACACATGCACGCACATACACATGCACATGAAAACATAATCCAGATGGTCGCGGAGCGCTTGGGACATTCAATTTCATTTAATCATTTCAGCAGACCAGGATATTTGCCTAATGGCTAAGGTGCCATAAAAACTCTCAGGATGGAGGCAAAGACGATCATTAACCACTCACGAACCTGCAAATGTCAAATTCATTTGGCATCTGATATCTTTCTGTTTCTCATTAGCACAGTAAGGCGGACAGACAGATGTCACACTAAACTTTCATATGTGTGTGTGTGTGTGTGTGTACGTAGTTATTACCCTTAAAAAAACAGCACCAAAACTGTTTTTAATTACAAATCACAACCACTGCCAATATCTTTGCTGTCCCTGTGTGATCGCCCTGTGCCGTATGAGACCAGTGTGTTTTATCCGACATACAGAGACAAACTGAGCGAGGGAGAAATAACACAAACTCAAAACTCTAACATTGTCTCAACCTCCCCGTCTTCCTCTTCACCTCTGAATCTGAGCAGCATCCTCCCCACCCTGGAGGTGACTGACAGATGGGATCAGCCTGAACATCACTCAGAACCGCTCTCTGCCTTCCGTCACAATGGCAAAAACATATGATTTACCGCTGCCGTCCACGCTGCGTCCTCAGCCTCTCACCATCACTCGCAGTCACCAGTCCCACAATTCAAGAGCATTATGCTTAATGTTACTCTAACACCAACATGTGCATCATTCATGCTTGGTTGAGACATTGCTCTCACATGCATGTCTACCTCCACCATCTCTCTTTTAATACAACATATCTCTTGAGACGGACCCCCCCTGTCGCCCTCCCATCTGTGCGACCCTCTCTGAAGCCCCTCTGCTGTTTGTGTCATTAACTATACACACACACACACACGCTAATTCACGTGTCAGGATCTTCCTATTTCTCCACTTTCTCCCTCTGTCTTCTGCTCTCATCTGTCACACTCTCTTTTTCTTTTATACATTCACAATGAAAGCATGCACAAACAAATACATTGCACACGCTTGCAAAAAGAAAAAGCAGAGGAAGTCATACGCACGCTGACAATCCTCTCCGAAGTGCCCCCTCTGGAGATGGTGGTCCCGTTGAGTCCCACCAGAGAGGGCAGAGTCTGAGACATCCAGTTGGTCACCATGGCCATGGTGCTGAGCACCGCCCCAATCTTTAGCATAGGGACACTCATGTTTGCTTCCTGTGGGGCCCGATGAAAACAGCCCTACAGCCAGCCCTGCCCTGCCCTGCCCTGCCCTGGACCTCGGCTCCACTCAACCCCACTCTGCTCCAGACAGCCGGGGCAGAGAAGCAGCCAGTCAGCCCCTGCCTCAGTCCAAGAGGAAGCAGAGCCCCCAGAGCTGGTAGAGCACAGTTATCAGACTCACACACCACTAGCTCAGTCAGAGGGACCGGTTAGAGGAGAGCAGCTCACATCCAACAGCATCACGCTGGAATCTTCCCTCTCAAAGTGACTGCCTCAGCCTCACCCCCTCCCTCTCTCTCCCTCTTTCCATCTCTCTCACTTCCTCACTCTCCCCTTATCTCTCCCTCTCTTTCTCCCCCCCCCCCTTCTTCAAGATGCAGAGCTGCGCATTGGCTGCCTCTGCGTCTCATCCCCTCCCAATCAGCCTCTGCTCTGTTCTTGCCAGCCCTGTTTTGCATGTGTCCGTTCTTCTCCATTCTTTCCTCTCTCTTTCTCTGTCATCTGGCTGTTCTTTTTTGACTCACAGAGTGCGCACACACTAACACACACATCTCTATAGGTGTGGAGATCAGAGGGGGCTTATTTCAGACGGCTGATCTGTGCTCTGCGTTGTGTGACATGTAAGTGTCCGGAGCACCCCAGATAGCCGACTGTCCTGCTGCCTCGTCACAGTGTCTGCACTGGATGGATGGAGGGTTGAGGATACGGAGGAGTGGGTGGACGGATTAAAGGTTGGCTGGGGGCTCATGATGAAAGACATGGGCAGGTGGTTTGGGAAAGTATTAATGTGGGACAGAGCCAGTTGCTGCTGCTCACAGTGAAATTCTACCTCATGGCACATCCTACATCAGCCTGTTGCATTCACTTGAACAGTATTTTATCAACTCTACCTTGCCTGTGTCTTCACCACATCCTCATATGCAGTTGTCTGCTTGGCACTCACCAAGGAACATGATGCTGATGCTATAAAACTAGTTAATGAGTGCAGAATTGGATGGAGATTGGCTTGATATAAACGGTTTGTATTTGCTGGCTGCTATAGTATGCTCTCCTTAGAGAAGGGAGATCACATGTTTATTTTTTTTCCAGTCGTATAGTTAGACCCTTGCTGTATTGCTATAATCCAAATGGATCTGGCGCTCAGCACAATCACATCTGTTAAGCCAGTGTCAGAAACTCTGCTGCCTTTTTTAGTGTCACTTCACTTCAGGGGACACCGCCTGAAGCCAGACTTCAGACGTGTTCTGAGGTTTAGATCGGCCCTTTTATCTGCACCACACTTTTTTGTTTCCACAATCATAGCAGCCTGAATTTGTCACTCACCTCTAGAGCGATGGGTCAGACAGAAGGAGATATGAAACTATTGACTATTGGGGGGGTGTCTGAAATGTCTCCCTGAAGCTAGAAGCATCCCCTCGCAACAATTCCCCAGCAAGACACAGGGCCACAGGCGGTGTCATTTTTTGCCCTAAGCCGCAATGCATAATGATGATAGAACAGCCTGCGTAGACAAAACGTCCAGGCCATCGCCCTTTTCTTGTTGGCTTGCTGGACTGCTGACTTATTCATTTTGTCAGCCATGGATGGGGTCCCCCTCCCCTCCAGTCATGCTGGGTGAGTGATATGGGTTTCTTCGTGTGGGGTATACTGTGAAGTGATATGGGAAGAGACAGCTTCTTGAGCCCCATCCAAAAAAATGTCAGCCCTTCTCAGCTCACCTGCTGCCTCTCACATTTCTCCCGCTTGCGTTTACTGCTCTATTTGTGCAGCAACACTGTCTCCGTGTGGTTTCCAGTGGAACTGCGGCAACTGTTGTACTGTCTCGAGGAGATGTAAGACATTTAGCATCACTGCTTCGGGTCCAACTTGAGGGAATATTGCAGGTGGTATATGTGCACACACAAACACACTACTTCTGTTTTTAGAGTCCAGGGACATGCCAGACCTCTTCTTTAATGGAATTGTGATTCAGTATTTATCTAAACAGCTGCTCTATACTGTAAATCTACAGCTAAACAAGTGCACACTATATAATAAATCAGTATGATGTGCATGTAAATATTTCAGTCCCTCAGTTATCCTTTGAGAGTTATCAGTAACTTGGTCCAAGCAACTGAGATTGGTTGATATCATTTTATTTATATTTGTAAAATGATGTTGACATATCTAAATGTGGTGTTGATGTTGTAGGTTTTTTTTTCCGCTCACGGACATCATGTGGGTGAGAAAAGCTATTATCAGTAATTCTTCCTAGACTGGGATGCAGTTACTGTCATATTCACATGGTGGCAGCAAAGGTTTAAAGATGAACATCCTTTAGGCCTACATCGATTTAAATTATAACTCCCATATCAGGTCTGTTACAAATTCAGGGATTCATCATCTTAAAAAGGCAGCTGCAGCTCCTTCAGGAGGCACTATAAAGACAAAGCTGGACATATTTCACCAGTTGTCAGATCTCTGTGCTGGCTGCCTCGTGAAAACATTGTTAATTGTCTGTAAATAACTTATTGGTTGAGGGGCTGCGTACATCTTTGATCTGCTTCCACACAGTGAACATCTCTAAACTCTCAAGTCATCAGAGTCCAGTCTGCTAAGTGTTTCTTGGCTGAAGCTTTACTCGACATATTATGCTTCGCATAGTCAAAATTAACTTCCACGTGATCTCAGTGTGTCTCAACTCTGACTGTGGGTTTTATTATCATTTATTATATTTTATAATCTTTATTTTTCAATGTTCTTTTCTTTTTATCTATTTCTATGTAAAGCTATCTTAATTGCCTCTGTGTATGACTTGTGTAAAGTTCTCAAAGAAAGCCTTGTACTGAAACTTTGAGGGCTGAATGTAAAACAAAATCATTCAAGATGCTGCTTTCATTGATGCTCCATCTTCGATACTGCGACTAAAGAGACCATGTATGACTGTGGCCACTGAAGTAGGCCAAATATTTCACTGCAAGTAAAACAAGAAATCCATCATTATCACACATTTATTCACTGCTATAAATCTTCCTTCAGTGGCTCCTATTTGTACAGTTTAACTTCAAAATGTGTGTTTTCTAATTAATTCTGCAGTGGGGCAGCACATAAAATGTCAACACACACACGCAATATTCTACATTTGGGAAAACATTATTTTGGCATACTGCATTTTGTAGCCCCTATTGTAAAACGTCTATCTTCAGAACTACACGAACCTGCCTTCTTTAGGTAATTGTTACCCGAAGGACTATATAACTATAGGAAAGCCAAAATATCATCAGTGTCCTCACTCAAAACCCATTTAAATATATTTCTTTCTTTCATGTTCACAGATAAAATTGTGTAACCTTGAAAGAACAAGTTTTGATTTCTTGTATTCAAAATAGATATTTTATGATTTTAAACTTCCATGTTGTTATCATTAAATAGATTTGTATAACATTCTGATATTATAATTATCAATACAACATTTGACATGAGTAGCATTTTAGGTTCTACAGCCTATTGCAGCTGGCTAGACTCCATTTAAATTTCCAACAATGTCTAGTTTGTGGTATTCAATATGTACGTTTATTTGACAAAATTAGATATAAGATATTTTACTTTACTATACATGTTACCATAGGGACTCCACATATGTTTTAAATACTTTTTTATAGAGAACTGACATGATTTCATTCATTTGTGCCAGTAACAAAATTCTGTGTGCATGCTGTACCTGCTGCATGTACAATTACTGAAGCCACAGAGGTTCATCTTTCATCATATCTTCCCTCAAAGTGTTTTAACCTTTGTACCCTTATCTTCTCCTTAAACACATCTTTCAGTCATTACTAATAACTTTCGCATTTGCTTTAGTTGAAAAGCGTTGAGTGCTCCTCAGCTATTTCTGAATTATGATTCTTCTCACGCAGTGCAGGTCAGGTGGCATCTTTTGAAAAGTGATGGACCAAATAAAGGATGGGAATAATGAGTGTGATGAGGACAATCTGCCATTCCTCAAAGAATTCCAGGCCCTGCCAATCAGCTGTCTAATCACAGAGTCTGTTGGCAGAACAAGCTTTCATTAAATATTAGCAAGAGAGGAAGTCAGCCATTTAACCTGTATTAATTTAATCCTTTTTGATTAATTTTCAAAGCCCTTCCTCATAATTTCCACTCTAATAATTGGCTAGCTTCGTTTTCGCTGCTGCTCTGCTGTGTCATTATCACCAGTTCTCCGTCACTCTCTTTTGTTACTCCTTCTCCCAGAATTTTATTCAGCATTCAAGTCCGATCACTCTCCAATGTTCCCTGCTGTCTCTCTCAGAGCCCTGTTCAATCAGAATAAAAGCTCAGAACTTGTGATCTTAGTTGGCTTGTTCTGCACTACACATACTGTAGATATAACGCTGTGGAAGATATAGTGTGCAGATTTTTGCGACCTCCACATAGACATGTCAAAATGTCCTTGTGCTTTATCCTAAAAGGTAAAAAACACAATTCTATTGTCTATTATGCTCCCCACCTATGGGTGTGCTCTACAAAGGGCATTTTTAATCAGTTCACATGGTGCAAATGGCCACCAACTGCAGAAATGGCAGCATTCAAGCACACCCATGGATGGCAGTAGAGCGCCACACAGCCCCAAGGCCATAGGGACAAGCTCTAAGTGAGATAACAATACAGGGGGAGCAGAGAGGCACAAAGCACCGCAGCCACGTTCTCGCTTTGCACAAATACACAACCGGCTGCAAATTCACAACTGAAACACAGGACCATATTACACCTCAGCTAATTACACAGACCTCCTTCATAATGATGCAGAGCTGTTATGACTGAGGCAGCGAGGCCTCACACACACACGCACAGCCCCTGCCTGAGCTCTGAAAGATGCCGGAGTCATCTGGCTCTAAGAATACTGGCTATTTTTCTGAGTCATAATTCATTAATTAGATGATGGACATGGAGGCCCACTGCCTTCTAAATATATCAAGATCAAAATCAGCTTAAACAAAGCGTGA